GTAAATGCTCGTCTCATGCCATCATAAACATTTGGACTTAGAAATCAACTGTCACAAATCATTAGATTTTGCATTTTCATATAAATATCATTGAACAATTGTTTATTTTTTGGCTATATTTTAAGCCAATATTCTAATTACAAGCATATTTATACATAAAAATATATTTCCTCATAAGATAGTTTGCTAAGTTTATTTATTTTACTTAATGCATATTGAGAAGCAGGTCAACTTCTATCACAAAAATATACTACTCTATGATAAAATTTGCTTAGGCAAAATTTGGTATCAATTCTAAAACCTTGTATTATGAATAACAATATCAAAATAATCCTTCTCTTTATAAATGTGGTTAACGAACAAAGTCAGTCTAATATCCAAAGATTTTCCTAATAAAATACTTTAAAAACTCATGCTTGGTGCTCTTTTTTCATCATATATTTAACACAAATTATTTATGAAAGATGTCTATGTTCATTGGACAATAACCATATTAAAATGTATCTGGCTAGATCTGTGTAACAGGTATGATAAATTCATTGTATCAGATTGAAGCAATATATATAGGTTCTAATTTCCCTGATTAAGAATGAAACCATTAACTCCTCAATAAATATTGAGAAAAGATCAAAAAGATCTAATTGTATTAGAATTTAAGAATTTGAATTTCTTCCTAAAACATTTAAGAGATATATATTGAAGTTAAAACTGCTATAAACAAATAGACCTCTACCTACCAATCCATGACTGTTTACTTCCTTTGCCTGTACATATTCACACATTTATGTAATATTGACAGAAAAGATGTAAATGTTTTATGCTCTTTAAAAAGTTTAAACAAATCTGTTTTACATATTTCAGACCTAAGTTATCATATAAAAATATAAATTTTTTTCAGAAAATATCTTTAAGCATTTCAGAATTTTCTTAATTCTCTGACACTCTAGTTATTCCCCCCTATTTCTTGTTATAAGAAATAACAATATAAATCAGTTTTTTTTCTTCTCTATTACTTGCTTGGGGTATATCTCAGAAATAGGACTATTGTTATATTAACATGTTATTATTTTCTTAAGACAATCTTTGGTAAAAGATTTCTGTAAGCATGAAGTTGCCTAACTAATCTTAGTTGATACAAACGTTTTGGAATATTTATTTTTTGATAATTAGCAAAAATATGAATAAAATTTTTCCTTTAAAAAATTCCACAGCACTCTCAATATCCATTTAAAGAAAATTTTAATTGAAAAACATGTTCATTAATCTGATTATGAAGTTATTTATAAAATGATGATGTAGTGATTGCATTTTAGGTTCCATCTTCCACATCTAAAACAAAAACAAAGCAACACTGTATCTGGCCCTTCCTCTCCTCACAGATAAAAGTCCAGAGTAAAATGTTTGGCACATTCCCACACCAATTTCCTTAGGTGCTAAGGTCTTTCAAAACTTCTACATTTTATTTCAACTCAGAAGATGGTGGGGAAGAGGAAGAGATTCTGAAAGAAAAGATGACAGCCATGTGCTCTCTCCCCTTCACAATGAGATGAGAAATGAAGAGGCAGAATTCAATTTTTTCAAAAACAAAAAAAAAAAGGTCAGGCTAGAGATCTGAAAGCAGTGTACTGAAAGAACAGTTCAGTAAAATATATATTCTCTTTCTGAAGGTTAGTTTACATCTTTAGGATGCAGTTCCATCTTCTTCATTCTCTAAGAGATGAATACAATTTATACATCTCTTTTTCATTCTAGCCACCTCTTTAATTACCAAAATCACCCTGTACAGGGATGATTATTAGTTTCCTGTGAGGAATCGGCAACAAAACTAGGACTAAAGTAGAATCTCAGGCACAAATTCAATTTTGAAGAAGGAACTTTCCTATCTGTACCTCCTCTTTCTGTAAAATAAATACCATCTGATAAAATATCTATAAAATAAACATGATGAGAGAGAATGCCTGGTACAATAGCATAATTATGGCCTCTTCTTAGAATGTTCATGCAAAGTTCATTAACTATGACACTGTAAGATGCTCCATATATATAAAGTATAAAAATAAGAGATATTAACCAGTTAAGAGAAAAATACACTTAAACAGAAAACTTCCAGTTAAATTTGGATCCAAGGAATCCAGACTGTTTTATATAATTAGTTTTGTTAATTTATTTAAATTTGTTTAATTTTTAAGTAAGTCAATTCCCTATAGAGAAAGTTTACATGAAACTTCCTCTTCAGTCTACTTAGTTTATGGAAAATACTGAAAAAGTTAATACTAAACATTCTACAGAGTTCAACCAATAAAGATTTTGTCTTTCAGGAAAGTTAGTGAATATCTCAAACACAAAATTTAGTTGTAATAACTCATAGATCTTTGTGATTAGTTTTGAAAGCTTTGGCCCACCATATCGTTCCTTAATATAGATGATTTTCAACTAATTTTGAATAGCTCTGAATATGTTTTTAAAAATCACACTAAGTTGCCTGACATTAAGAACAACACAAAACCATAGAAAAATATATTAGGATAGAAAGTGTTCTTGCAACTAAACCCAGCAACTATTTAAATTTATTGTCTCAAACCCTGAACCTATTCCTCTTTGGACTTTGAATTAGAAAATATGGGGATATGAAGTTCAGTAAGAGATTCCATCCACCTTTTATCCTAAAAGAACCATTGATATTAGAGTATGTTATTCACTACTGTGACAATCACCAAATAGCACACTATTAAGTCAGCTTGAGTCCATCAGTGATTCTATAAAAATGACATGGCCAAGCCATTAAAGTGACAAAACTTCCATTTCTTAAAGAAGGCAGATTTTATGGAAATGAATCATGTAGTCTGTATATGTAACAAGATGCAAGTTCAGCAAATTCACAAGAACTAGACTTACAGGGTAAGTGGTAAGTGCCTTAATATTTAAAATTTCACATAGCTTCTTTATTATTGAGATTCTTGTTACTATGAAAATCCATTCCTTTCTATAACAACTGGCAAGGTTTCTGGCAAAAGTTCAGTACAAAAACATCTATAATCATGGAAACATTTTAGGTCATTTTTTAAAATACTGAGGCCCAATAAGACTTGACACAGATCTAACAGGGAAACAAAGGTCCAAAAATAAGAGACTAAAGAAAAAACTTTTTTTCTACATAAATGGCCAATCAGTCCAACTTCTTCTCATACTTTTTGGCTGACTGGCAGAGCAGAGTAACATATACAGACTAGAACAGATAGAGTGGCACTGCTAGTTATATATGTCACAGACCAAATCAGTGGAGACAACCATCACAACAAAAGTGGTAGCTGTATTTTATTGAGATGAATATCAACCGCTAAAAGAAAACTTTTTACCAACCAAGTTAATTTCAAACAACAGATTAAATTAATAATAAAGGCTTTGATTGAATCAAGCAACTCTACCATAAAACCTTGAAAGTACACACCTATAAAACAAAAGATTTTTCAAAACGAACTCTTACCCACCATTTGTTCTTACAAAGAAAGTTTCATTAAAAACACTCACTATTCTTTAATTTTTTAGTTTGAAATAATTATAGATTCACAGGTGATTGCAAAGAAATGTACAGGAAAGTCTCATGCACTCTTTTTCTAGTGTCCAGTGTTAGTATATTACACAACAATAGCACAAATATCAGCACCAAGAATTTGACATTGATACAGTCCAAAGAACTTACTCAGATTTCATCAGTTATACATTCACCATTTGTGTGTGTGTGCACACACAGACCTGACATTTAATCATATATGTAGACTGTGTAACACAACTACCTCTAAGATCAAGATATTTAACTGTCTCATAACAGGACTTCCCAGGTCCCTCTTTAACAGACACTATTTTTTTTTATAAACAACCAGTTAGCAAAAAGGTCATTTCATTGTCCTACTTTAGCTGTCATATCAAAAGTAGAAGATACTTTAGTGATTGAGGAGTAGAAAATAACCTTGTATGAGATTCCTTTTTATTTTGTTAAGTTCTAGGTAAAAAATGGCACCCCACTCCAGTACTCTTGCCTGGGAAATCCCATGGACGGAGAAGCCTGTAGGCTACGGTCCATGGGGTGGCAAAGAGTCGGACACGACTGAGCGACTTCACTCAGGTAAAACAAACAGGTGAGAGCTGGGCAGGTGAGAGGCAGCTGCCAAGCTGAAGGTGGCTGACTACTAACTAGAAAGGAAAAACAGGAACACATTTTCATCAGATGTTTAGAGAATAGCTAGTGTAATTACCCCCAATCAGGTGGTACAAGGCAGTTTCAATTTCCAAAGACCTTCCTAAAACAAACTATATTAGCTGAGAGAGCTAAAGAGAGTTATGCAGGTAAGTTTTTAGATATCACAAGGAAAAGCAATAAACTAATTTCATTTAATAGTCATATATTTAAAACAAGCATTTATTAAGTTAAATATATCACATAATGGTAATATGGGCTTCCCAGATGACTCAGTGGTAGAGAATTCATCTGCCAAACAAGAGACACGGGTTGGATTCCTAGATCAGGAAGATGCCCCGAAGAAGGCAATGGCAACCCACTCCAGTACTCTTGCCTGGAAAATCCCATGGATGGAAGAGCCTGTCTGGCTACAGTCCATGCGGCCACAAAGAGTCCGACATGACTGAGCAACTAAACAATAATGGTAACACAGATTGCTTAAGCTTACAGGTCTATTACAGGATCCTTTACTCTGGATTAAAATAGTTGGTATTACAGGAAGATTTTGAAATGAAAACATACTTGTATATATTTACCAAGAACACCTAAATGATACCATTAATATGAAAAGCTTTTTCAAAATGTAGGGACTAAACAGAGGTAAAAAACATTAGCATAAGGTCCTTAAATAATTACTGGAAATAGTGCAGTATAAAAATGAAATTAGTCTAAGGTCCGTAAATAATTACTGGAAATAGTGCAGTATAAAAATGAAATTAGTCTATTTAATTCCCTTTTTAATTCTCCCAAATCCAATACTTACATTCAAATTTTAGGATCCAGCATCCACTGAGAATTCCAAGCATACATTTCAGGGTGTTTTGAACTGTATCACCAGGAACAATGACATGAGTTACTAGAATATAAAAAAAGCAGTAAGAGAAACAGATATATAAACCAAAATAATTATTTAACTAGTCCACTTACATCTGAATTTTCCTCAAAGGCAACAATTTTTATACTTCAGTAAAGTGTATACTTCAGGAAAGACGTATTTAGTTTTATTCTCCATTATGGCTACCAACATGAAAAATCAGATCATAAACCATAAATCTTAAAGCCACACAGAGTGCATGTGTGTGCTCAGTCGTGTCTGGGTCATTGTAACACTATAAACTATAGCCTGCCAGGCTCCTCTGTCCACGGGATTCTCCAGGCAATACTAGAATGGGATGCCATTTTCTCCTCTGGGATATATTCCCAACTCAGGGATCAAACCCACATCTCCTGCATTGGCAGGTGGATTCTGTTACCACTGAGCCACCTGAGAAGCCCAAAGCCACATTGGCCAAAGCAAATTTCTTTTCTATTTCCAATTACAACTAAGGAATTAAAGCATTACATCGTTCGACCATTTATCTGTCATTAGCAAACTCATAAAATTGCTCTTCTGACATATGCCCTAAAATAGGGCAAAGCTTTAAACTTTGTATTTCCTCACCAAATGAAGACTGTAAGTAATTTATAACTATAGAAACATTTTAGAACTATTACCAGATTCAAAGTATATAATCAGATTCCAATGGGTAAAATGTATAAATTATCAAGGTGAGTTCTACAATGGAATTACCCATTTACAATTCTCGTCTACCAAAACTAAATAATCCTCACCTGTACTGTCAAACTCAGCACATTTTTTAGCCTTAAGAATCGCTGCAAGCTCACTGAGCATTTTCTGCTGTTCGGAAGAAAGTCCGCTGCCTATAAGTGCAAGAGGCCCATCCCGACGCTGACCAGTGTTTACCTGCCAATCAAAGAGGAGATGCCACAGCGTCAGAGACGTTTAAGGCCAGAGAAAGATTAAACTGAGTTTCGCTTGATGTGAGCCTGGATTTCATTCCTCGGTTTACTTTATCTAGTAATTCCCAATAATTTCCATTGAATCGTCACTCAGAACCTTAATGCTCAATGCATCTGAATAACTGTTTTTCTATTTCTTTACCCCTTGCCCCCAATAAAACACTATTTATGATACCTCCCTACACCTAGGGTGTCTTGTTTCCTCGATTTTAAAGTGGATTTCTCTAGGGTTTTAGAACTTCATTCTGTTACCAGTAAGCCTCACCTTTTTTAAAAAAGTAACCCCAAATACCCACTTAAAATGATCAACTCTCTACCCTCCCCACAAACTTACTTACTTCAACAGAGCTTAAACCCAACCTGATGTGTTTAAACTGAGATTATGTAAAAAATGAAAAAATACTAAAGCTTCTAGAACAGTACTGATCTCAAAGACAGAAAACAAAATTTTAACAGTGAAAGATTTCTCAAAACCAGCAAAGTAAAAACAGACAAGAGAATACCGAAGTTATTATATCAGATTCACCAACAGAAATAAGTCAATGCAGTTTATGAAAAGGAAAGTGTTCGAACTAAGATTAATATTTTCACTTTAATAGAAAGACTTAGAACTTACAGGAGACAAAAAAAGACAAGAATAAAAAGAAGGCACCAATGGATACTGTCAAAGATTACAAGTGAAAGATTCAGAGAAGCAATGGGACTGTGTTTTCAATAGCAGCCAACAGAAATTTAATAAATGAAACTGGAATGAGAGTTAGACAAAAGCTACCTGATGAAGAAAAGCAATGACCCAGCAGATAAGAAAGAAAGGGTAAATGAGAACTACTGTATTACAAGATAAAAGGAAAGACACAGTAATTTTCAAATACAACACAAAGGGCCCGCCTACATGTATGAGTGTCTAGGTATTATGGGCCTCTGGGCTCTCAGAAGTTCCACAGAACATGAGTGAAGACTGCAGGTACAATTACCAGTATAGTTCAGCAACTAGATTAGAGGAAATTTATATTTAAAAATTCACTTCACATATCTGAATAATGGCAATTTATCTGGTCTGATGCCCTACAATATTAAATGTAAATTGCTGGCTACATCTCTAAACAGACTGATCTCAATAATTCATTCACTCAAAATGCATTAAATAGGATTCTACTATGTATTAAGTCAGTATATATTCATGACATTTTAAAAAACACCTCTATAAAGTTTTTTTAATGACAATATTCAGCACTTAAAATTTCAGCTTCCTGAACTACTCTTCTTGAAGGTTCAAGTTATAGAGGTTTTACTGGACATGCTGTGCACACACCACACACATACTGACATCACATTTCTGTCCATTTATCTTTCCTATTCACTCAATTATAAGATGAGGTAACCATGTTTAACCTAAACACTGTAAACACTCCATAGCATGAAAACAGTTCAGTCTACTTTATCAATCAATTACTATATTTTAATCATATTAAAGAATAGCATTTCAAATATTCTTGTCAGTTTACAAATGAGCATCATAAAGTAGTTCTAAATGGAACACATTACTGTTCAATTTTTATAACTCCATTTCAGCTAAATGAGTTCTCTACACAAAATAAAAAGTGAAAAGATATCAATTGTAAATACAGCATATGATACTACTTCCATCAACCTCAGGAAAGCACCAAAGTGGGTCAAGCATTTTTCTATCTAGTTTCTAAGTTTCAATAAAAAAATAGAAACTGGCACTAATTTCTCATAATTAAGGAAAGCTAATAAAAATAAATAAACAAAATCAAGCAAAGAGCTGTCAAAGTCACATGTCTGATTTGGGGCAGGAGGTGGGGGTGGGGAGGCATTTGATTTGAGTAAGCAGAGGGCTCAGAATCAGGAGATTCAAAAGCTGTTTGGAAAATATTCCAAAGGTTCAATATTCTGTTTTTACAGAGATTGGATACTATGTACATTGACATTAAATAAACTTATCTAAGGAATAATTTGATATGAAACTTTTTCTTGGAAAAATTACTCTTAATTTATGAAAATTAATGAGTTTATCAAAAACAGAGTTTAAAAAACTACAACAAGAGCCAGAGGGAGTGAGGAAGCATGCCATGTGTACAGCTGGCTCCCTACATTTGTTCCTGGTGGAGAAAATTGCTAGCACCAAGGACCTGAAATGGGAATGTGTCTGGGGGATTCAAGAAATAGCAAGGCAGCCTGTGTGGTTGAAAGAGATGAGTGAAAAGGAGTCTGATAGTGTTTGCCCAAGCAGATCCCAGTTCTTGTCTTTAGTGAGTGAGTATACACAAAGAAACAACTCTTTCAACTTAAGGAATTGTTACCATTCATGATCATTTCCTTAGCCAAGTATCTACCATTAAGAGAGTAAATAACGATATTCACTCACAGGCAGTGTCCTGTGACATGCAGAAAGTACAGGTTTCTTACATTTAACAAAAACACAAGAGTAATTGAACAGCTAAATTAAGAGGAAGATTGCCATGCTCAGATTCCAATAATACCATTAACAGTTAATCTTTATTTTTGACACAACTAAAATAATCCTTTTTCAGCTTTTTACATAAAAGAAATATTGGCAAATGACAACTTAGTTACATTATGTTCTGCCAGCAGAATCCAAGTCCAAATGAATAGAGTAAGGATCAATTTATAGTTAAGTACAATAGGACCAAATGAATACTGACCTAAAATTTTCTTAATATTCTGAATTCAGTCAACTTCTAATTGATCTACTGGGGGGGAAAAAATGTGCTGTTTTTGTTTTTTTTCCTATGGTCGGCTGCTGCTGCTAAGTCGCTTCAGCCGTGTCCAACTCTGTGCAGCCCCATAGACGGCAGCCAACCAGGCTCCCATCCCTGGGATTCTCCAGGCAAGAACACTGGAGTGGGTTGCCATTTCCTTCTCCAATGCAGGAAAGTGAAAAGTGAAAGTGAAGTCGCTCAGTCGTGTCTGACTCTTAGCGACCCCATTGACTGCAGCCTACCAGGCTCCTCCGTCCACGGGATTTTCCAGGCAAGAGCACTGGAGTGGGGTGCCATTGCCTTCTCTGATGGTTGGCTAACCCTGAGCAAATCACACTACATATCAGTTTTCTCATTTATAAAACAAGGAAATTAAACTGCTGATTTCTAGGTTCTCTTTCAGGTCTACAGATAGGGCACACTTACAAGGTTGATGCCTGGAGCAGGAGATTAAGAGTTTTCATAGAATAAGGGTAACCAGCCTATGATAGCATCTACTGTTATTCAGCTGCCCAGTCATGTCTGACTCTTTGCGACCCCATGGACGGCTGCAGCACGCCAGGCTTCTCTGTCCTTCACGGTCTCCTGGAGTTTGCACAAACTCATGTCTACTGTGTTGATGACACCACCCAACTATCTTATCCTCTGTTGCTCCCTTCTCCTCTTGTCCTCAATCTTTCTCAGCATCAGGGTCTTTTCCAATGAGTTGGCTCTTTGCATCAGGTGGCCAAAGTATTGCAGCTTCAGCTTCAGTCCTTTCAGTGACTATTCAGGGTTGATTGATTTCCTTTCAGTTTCAGTTCAGTCACTCAGTCATGTCCGACTCTTGGTGACTCCATGGACTGCAGACAGTAGTCTCACTGGTTTGTTCTCTGTGTTGTCTCAAAGACTCTCAAGAGTCTTCTCCAGCACCACACTTCAAAAGCATCAATTCTTCAGTGCTCAGCCTTCTCTATGGTCCAACATTCACATCTGTACATGACCACTGGAAAAACTATAGCTTTGACTAGATGGACTTTTGTCAGTAAAGTGATGTCTCTGCTTTTTAATACATTGTTTAGGTTTGTCATAGCTTTTCTTCCAAGAAGTAAGTGTCTTTTACTTTCATGGCTGCAGTCACCATTTGCCGTGATTCTGGAGCCCAAGAAATGACCACCTCAAATTATAAACACCTTCAGTTACCTCATCTTAAACAATAGGTCAATCACTACTCTCCTGCCCTTACTGGACAAGAAGCCACCTCTGAACCCCTTAATTCTCTAGATCTCACTTTTCCCCATCTGAGCAGTTGTTAAGATACACTGAGTCCATCACCCCTCTCTCTAAAGCCTCTCATCTTCACTTCACACCCCCACCCCCAACACCACTTGTAGTTCCAATCCTCTCCACTTCACATGGACACACAGCAGCCTCCTCACCAGTCTTCAGCCCCAGCCCGCCCTCACTATCCCCCCGAGTCCCGTTCCACTGAGACACATACTGAGGGTGCCTCCCTGACTGGGCAATAAAGTCTCCACTCCTCCACAGAGAGTCAAGGTCTTTCACCCCCTGATCCCAACCCAGGTCTTTACCTCCACTTCCTCTCTAATGTACCTCATGCTCCTCTCACACTACATTCTAGTTTCTCAAATTTCTGAAGTCCTTTATGTCTCCTTGTCTGAGCAGCTGTTCCTTAGATCTGGGCTGCTATTTCTGCTCCGTGTACCTGACTGAAGTGGGCAACAAAAATCCACTCCTCACTCCTTCCAGACTCTATTAATAGAGTCCTAATTCTGTTCAGATACCCACTCTTCAAGGACTGACCCTATCTTCAACCACAGTGTATGTCAAAAGCAATTATGTGACCAGTTCTGACCAATAAGATGTAAAAGGAAGTCCACTGGAAGGCTTCTGGGAAAGGTTTTAGTCCTAACGCTGGACACTGCTGTATCTGGAATTGTGGCAATCATCCTACCATCACCAGGAGGGAGAATAGTGAGGACATAACCACCACACTGAAGATGGTGAAGCAGAAGAACAGAAAGAATTTAGATCTTTGGTGCAAGCTTTGCAACTGCTAAGCCAAATTATAACAAGAGCTGTCGTATATTGAGATTATATAAGAGAATACACTCTTTAAGCATCTGAATGAATGTTTTCTGTTATTTGCAGCCAATATAACACAGTATTAGATATCTTGCTAAAACTCGTACCTTTAAAGACTTACTTAGACATCATGTTACCTTCTCTTCTGATCCCTCCTAAAATCAGCTTCTTTCTTTAAGACTCTACTATATATTTGTATGGCATCTATTACAAATTCACTGCAGTATGTAATAATTCTTTTTACATCCATATTCCCCACTAAACTATAGGTTCCTAAGGAATAGGCATTCTTTCCACAAGGCAGCAAATGGCACCCACATCTACTCCATTGCTAAAGTAAAAAGTGGAAGTGTTAGTCGCTCAGTGGTGTTCGACTCTTTGTGATCCTATGGACTGTAACCCGCCAGGCTCCTCTGTCCATGGAAGAATACTGGAGTGTGTTGCCATTTCCTACTCCAGGGGATCTTCCCGACCTAGGGATCAAACCTGGGTCTCCCACATTGCAGGTAGATTCTTTACCATCTGAGAAAACAATGAAGCCTAAGTCATATTAATTCTATTCTTTCTCCACACTTCACCCATAATCCATCCAAAGGTTCTGTTGGCACTAACTCAAAAATACATACCAATCTCATTACTTCTCACAACTTCCACTGCTGTTCCCTTAGTCCAGGTCATCATGGTCTCTCTCTTCTTTATCAAGAAACAGTCCAAGTAATCTCCCTGCTGCCCCGCTTGCCACCACTCTGTCTTTTGATTAGAAGCTGCCAGAGTGAACTTTCTAAAGCATAAATCAGATTATACCATTCCTACCTTTAAATTCTTTCAGTGGTTTCCCCATTACTCTGAGACATGCCCTCGTCACCAGCAATAATGACTGTCTCTAACCTTCAAACACACCAAGGTCACCCACTGAGGGACCTACACACTTGCTGTTCCTTCTGCTAGGACACTTGTCCTCCAGATATTCACCTGGGTGCTCCCTCGACATCAATCAGGTTTCAGACCAAATATCAGTTCTTTAAAGGCCCTCCTCGATGACCCAGGTAAAATGGTACCTTTCTTGAAGCCCACAACGTCCAGTCTATCACATTCCATAAAGTCTTCTTCAAAGAACTCATTTGTAAGTTTCCAAAATTATTTTATTTATATTAGTTTATATATCCACAGTCTGTTTCTTTCCTAGCTCTCATTAGAAAGTATACTTCTTGAGAATAAGAGTTCTATCAGTCATATTTATTACTGTATGAATGCTACCTAAAATATGGAGGGGGGAAAACAATAAGTATTTGTTGATTTATTATGATTATGTCTTTGAAATCACAATAGCTACTACACAGAAAGTGCTCAATAACTGGTGAATGAAAGCAGCTTACTAACTGGAAATTTTGCCATTTTGTTCATTTTATAACCGATTTCAATAAAACACATAAATGTCCCAAGGCTACATCCATACTCACTACTGAGCAATGGCTGGTTGATGATGATTCCTTCTTCTCCGGTAGCAGCAACAGCGATTTCATATTTTTACTGTCTGCATAATCCACAGGCCGCAGACCAAATATGTTGCTGGTAAAATAAGTACAGATGGGTTTAAGTAAATAAAATGTGTGGTCTGATTTTTAACTAAGTGAATACACTAGTGGAACAATTTTTTCAACTTCCCTAATAAGACACAATTTTTTAAAAATAAATGACTCAAGAATTCACATAAGGCATAAGAATCAAGTACTACAAGCTGCTGAAAAATAGAAAAAGATGTGAAATTTAACACCAGACCATTACAGGGACTATTCTTAACCGAATATATTGTTACTTAAACATGAATTTTTTTCACAACTCAGTATTGGTATTCAAATTCATATTTTAAAATATAGCTTCATTATCATTAATCACTATGGGCTGATTACATGCTTTCAAATGCAAATAAAAATCACTTACTGTAGCTGTTACAGGCTCTCTAGTCTATATAAACAAATACAGAAATTAGATAATTTCACAAGATAGGTATTTAGATTCACTAGAAGGAAAACTATGCCACATGACAATTTAATAAAGTAGTAAACAGGGCATTTTAAAATTAATTTTTAATATGTATGTGCACTACAATCTATAATAATTACAGGCATCACAGAATAAATTAATGTAGTTCAGAAAGTATGTTGATGCAGACTTCCCAGCATGCACTAATTCGAGAGTCACAGAACATCACAATGGAAGAGACTTCAGACACATGGCTCAGCTGTTATTTCACTGAGAGAAAGCTTCCACTGACTTGACAAAGATCTCGCTTTCCTTCCATTCATTCTAACAATATTCCATATTGCCCATGATTAGTCTTTCAATCATAACTACACTGATAAAATCACAGCACTTTGTCTACTATTCCAATTCCTTACATATCGTTTCAAAATGATTTTAATGTATTATATCATGGCAGAAAAGTTTTCTAAACTGAACATGTCTTTTGAAATCTTCTCTGGTTTTTAGATTACAGGACATCCATACAACGGTCATTATTGTTCATGTAAAAAAATGCAATGTGTTAAACAGGATATAAAATTATAAACTTGATACAATACGAGCTTTTAAACTTGTATCAAATGTGTAGGAAAAGATCTGGATGGAAACAAGGAAACTTAAGAGGGAGAGAAAGGAAGAAGGTGTCAAATCTGAGAGCACAGAGATGAGAGATACGAGCACCTACTGGGTTCAGAGTCAAGGTTATTAATGATCTTAGAGAAAGCTGTTTTGATGGCAGAGTGGGAGAAGAAAAGAACCACAGCAAAGGTTTCTCTAATGACTGCTAGTCACAACTATCAGGTTCAGTCGCTCTTTCTCCTTGGGAAAGTGCTACGTAAACTCTGAACAACGTGTATTCTCAGATTCCCTTACATGCCCAAGTCCTATAGCGTGTGTCTTTCTCCTGGAAATAGTTTTTCTCGAACCAAAGTATAATACAGTCATTTGTATTTCAGCTTTCTGACTACAAAAAAATGACACCAGTTACTGCACTGGAAATTGGGTCCTCCCAATTATACATTTAAAGCAGGAGTGGGGGCTTCCCTTGTGGCTCAGCTGGTAAAGAATCTGCCTGCAATGCAGGAGACCTGGGTTCGATCCCTGGGTTGGGAAGATCCCCTGGAGAAGGAAAAGGCTACCCACTCCAGGATTCTGGCCTAGAGAATTTCATGGACCGTATAGTCCATGGGGTTGCAAAGAGTTGGACAGGACTGAGCGACTTTCACTTTCACTCTCAAAGCAGATAAGGTCATTTTCTTTCAAAAGGGAACTGATCTCATCCACTATACTTGACATTTCTCAATTTTATTATCTGTTATGCCCATGTACCAAATACACAATCTCCCCACATACATACTTTGTAAGTATGACAATCAAAAAGGAAAGAATCAATATGCTAGGTCTTATATCCCCAGACGCAAAAATAAACAAAAAAAGTCACACTATATGCATCCAAAAAAAAAAAAAAAATCAATCAGTGCACACATAAGGACTTTTTATCAAAGACAAATGTAGATTTCTCCAAGGAAATGAAATTTAAGAGCCCAATCAAGTGTACTTTAATGCACAGTAACTACAGCATAATTATTTCACACAAATACAAACTAAAGAGCACCATGACAACATGTAAAAATGTCAAATGAAAGTACTTTCCAAAGAACCAAATCAGCTTACAAAGGCTTTAAATCAAAAATAAACAGTGGCCTCTGAACAAGGAAGATGCTTTTATAATCTTAAAAAAACTGCTTCATAAAATGACTAGCAAGATTCTAGTCATTTAGAGTCCTTACTACACAAAGCTTACTACCTCATATGGTTTTTAAACATGTGATTTCTCTACCTGGATTATGGATGGCTTCTGCTTATACACAATTTGCTAAACCCTTAGCCTTCCTGCATTACTAATGAACTGGAGAATGGCACATTAAAAATGCTACTGAAATAATCAGTTAACCCTTAGTCTTGCCTCACGGGACATGCAGTCTATTAAATCCTGTCATGATACCGCTTTGCCATGGACCACTGAAATTTGGAATTAGACACAAGTTTTTATGTGACATCTTCAAAAACCATAGCAAGAGAAGGCAGAGCGTGTGTAACATTTCTCCTTTATTATGTGGGCACAAAAAAGGCATAAAACTTTTTCCCCGTAATGATACATTTGAATGAATACTTTGCTTACATATTTATGTCAAAAATCAGTTTAAAATATAATTAGATTTATTCTTTTTTTAAAAAAATAGGTGATACCTGGAGGAAAAGCCACAAGGGACTATCGATGTGATCAATTATTAACTGAAGGCATGATCAATCAATTATTCCCCATCACCATATAAGGAAGAAGTGTTTTATGTCTGCTTTAGATTTACTGCAATACCATGGATGCAGAATAAGTATCAATAACTTGCTATTAGACTGGGTTACCAAGGGAGCTTATAGAACAATTTTTTTCCTAAATGTTCTTAAATACAGCATGTTCTTTATTTTCTGACATACTTTAATCTAAAACCTTAACCTTAAAACAGATTATTTGGGAGGGATACATAATACTCAGAAAACATTGTCTTTGCCTGTAATCCTACTGAGGAAAAATACTCTTTAAGTAGAAAACTAAAAAGTATTAATCAAGGCACAAATAATGAAGTGAAATATGAGACGGATTTTACGGGAGGTTAAAAAAAGAAACATACAGTAACAAATAAAATGAACTCAAACTCAGGACTAAAAACTAGAATTTGGAAGATGAATGTGAAGGGCTTGTACGGGGAATGAGCAATGTGGTTGTTGAAATGGACGGAATTAATGGAAGAGAGCTTTCTATCAGGGTTGAAGAGCCTACTTACTATATGCTCATGTGTCTGAGCCAAATAGAACATGGAAAACTGAAAACTGTATGCAGGTCAAGAAGCAATAGTTAGAACCAGATGTGAAACAACAGGCTGGTTCCAAATTGGGACAGGAGTACGTCAAGGCTGTACACTGTCACTCTGCTTACTTAATTTATATACAAAGTACATCAAGTGAAATGCCAGGGTGGATGAAGCACAAGCTGGAATCAAGGTTGTCAGGAGAAATATCAGTAACCTCAGATATGCAGATGACACCATCCTAATGGCAGAAATGAAGAGGAACTAAAGAGCTTCGTGATGAAGGTGAAAGAGGGGAGTGAAAAAGCTGGCTTAAAACTCAACATTCAAAAAACGAAGATCACGGCATCTGGTCCCATCACTTCATGGCAAACAGATGGGGAAACAATGGAAACAGTGGCAGACATTATTTTCTTGGGTGCCAAAGTGAATGCAGACGATGACTGCAGACATGAAATTAAAAGCTGCTTGCTCCTTGGAAGAAAAGCTATCACCAACCTAGACAGTGTATTAAAAAGCAAAGACGAAAAATAAAAAAATAAAAAATAAAAAGCAAAGACGTCACTTTGCTGACAAAGGTCTGTACAGTTAAAGCTATGGTTTTTCCAGTAGTCACGTCCAGATGGGAGCGATGGACCATAAAGAAGACAGAGCTCCAAAGAATTAATGCTTTTGAAGTGTGGTGCTGGAGAAGACTCTTGAGAGTCCCTTGGACTGCAAGTTCAAACCAGTCAATCCTAAAGGAAGTCAACTCTGAATTCATTGCAAGGACTGATACTGAAGCTCCAACACTTTGGCCACCTGATGCGAAGAGCCAACTCACTGGAAAAGACCCTGATGATGGGAAAGATTGAAGGCAAGAGGAAAAGGGGGTGACAGAGGATGATATGGACCTAAGTTTAAGCAAATTCCAGGAGATGGTGAAGGACAGGGAAGCCTGGAGTGCTGCAGTCCGTGGGGTTGCAAAGAGTAGGATATGACTGAGCAAATGAATGCCACAAATAAGGCATAAAGAATAGTCATTAGAGACAAAGACAGTATGTAGCTGTGAAAACAGAAAAACATAAATGGCTACTGGCTAAACTATGGGTCAATGCAACACCAATATAATTAAAACTATTTTCAGAATATAGGAAAACATCCACATCTTCACTGCTGAATTTACATGTGGTGCATGACGGTGTATTAACTTTCATATGCACCATTTTTGACAGTTCAGTTCTCTTAATAACCTATCAAAGAAAGCTCTTTATGATTCAGTGAATGGCAAATGACTACATATAGATAACATATTTATCAATACTACATCATAAAAACTGATTAAGTAAAACATTTTATATAGTTACTTGAGAGTCCCTTGGACTGCAAGGAGATCCAACCAGTCCATCCTAAAGGAGATCAGTCCTGGATGTTCATTGGTAGGACTGATTTTGAAGCTGAAACTCCAATACTTTGTCCACCTGATGCAAAGAGCTGACTCATTGGAAAAGACCCTGATGCTGGAAAAGAATGAGGGCAGGAGGAGAAGGGGACAACAGAGGATGAGATGGTTGGATGGCATCACCAACTCAATGGACACAGGTTTGGGTAGACTCTGGGAGTTGGTGATGGACAGGGAGGTCTGGTGTGCTGCAGTTCATGGGGTTGCAGAGTTGGACATGACTGAGTGACTAAACTGAA